TAAATTAGAAATTATATTTAATTAACTAAAATATTACATGTATTAGTAAATTGAAAAAAAAAACATTAAACATAATACTGCAAATTATAAAAGTTACATTGAGCGCACAAGGAAAATTATATATACTGAGAAAAGACCTTCCGTAGTACTAAATTATTGTTTTAGTTAAGAGAGATGCTACTTGTCCCTGAATTAAATCCCGGGTCAAACTAGGGGCGCCATTTTGACCGGGGATTTAATCCATGGACAACCAGCAAAATGCTTTAGTTAAATGTTGTATTTTACTTTAATTTATGTTTTTATATATTTATATTGTTCTAGTGCTAATTTATTAATTATCAAATTTATAACTTTTAACTTTTTAATGAGCAATTTCAATTTATTGTTGAAAAAATTATTACTTATTAACGAATTAAAATTTAAAAACAAATGTTAAATAAAATTAATTATAAATTAATTAAAATCTATTAATATTAAAATATTAAAGAAGAATATAGATGGAAGAAACAATTTTTGTAAAGTGGAAAGAATGGCGAAATAGGGTTATTGCGAATTCTTATATTAGTGTACAACACTCGCCAAATTTGACCCCTCGTTGGAGATGCCCATAGTCCATGGTAGTAATCCTAGGGCGTGAGGGGACAAAGGAGAGAGAAAGTGGATCCCACTCCCCCCCCATGCCGCAACGCGTACGCTGTCTTAACCCCATCTATCTCCAGCCTTGACTTAACCCTAACCAAGACATATAAAATATTTCCAAACTCCCTCTCTCAACTCAAGATTCAAGAAACAACACATAAAAACTGAGCGAGAACTTAAGAGTTATCGCATAAGGGGCGAAGCAAAAAGGGATGATGAATTCAGTTCTTCCAGCAAAAACTGCCTTAGTTGCATTGGATTCATCAAACTCAGAAAAAAAAAAAAAAGCAACCAATAACGAATCCCATCTTGTAAGATAGAGAAATTCCCATATTTTGAGTCTGAATTTGCATCTGTTCATCAAGTTCTATGTAATTCAAAGAAGCAGACATGTATTTGAAGTGTAGTGATGAATCAGTTAACAACTCAAGGCCGCTCTTTGCCACCTCTGTTTCAAGCTAGAGATCTTCAGCTCCACCACCACCAATTCCAGAACAGCCAGCCGAATCTTGATGATAAACAAAGCAAAAACAGTAGTATAAACCGCAGCCTAAAGCGAGATCGTGATGAAAATTACGGTGTTTCCACCACCACCACCACTACCGGTGGCAGCGCCGAGTAGGGGTGGGCAAAAAACCGACCGACCCGACGAAACCTACCGAACCGACCCAAACCGACCGGTTTGGATCTTTTTTTGCATTTTTTGGGCGGTTTCGGGTTGGGCGGTCGGATCGGGTCGCGGGTTGGCACCCTAAACCCTAG